TATATATATATATATATATATTCCTCTTACCTCCCACACAGCCTGCTATTGGCATCAACACCCTATCACACTTGAACTTGTTCTATGGCACTTATCCAGATTGTTTTCTCCTGACTAGATCCTTGCTTGTGTTGTATCTGCTCTCAGATAAAAGCGTCTGCCAAATGAAATTGTAGAACTGTAGAAAGCTGAGCAAAATTAACGGCATGGTGGCTCTGAGGGAGATGTCTGCGCCATCATGGCCCAGAGACACGGGCATGCCTTGCCTTAGAGCTGCTCACATTCCAACGCTTTGCTGATTTTGGGCTTAGCCAGGAGTCAGGTAGGCTACTGTCATGATGGCAGGAAACATATGGGTGACTCAAAGGGTTCGACCATCTTTATAGAGTCAACGGTACTGTCACAGCTTGTACACAGCTCGGACATAAACACATTGTGATAAAACTGAACGATGCCTACCAACTTACTGTTCACTCCAGTGTGTTAGCATGCTAACCTGAATTTAAAATGAAAAATTTGACCAGATGATGGTGCTCAAGGAAAAGACCGGGGATCTTCAACAATTTGACCTGATGGAACAAAGTTCTTGGAATCCTTCCAGGATATTTCACTCAAAATCCCAAATGTCAATCTCATTGTGGCACGAGAGGAAAAACTAGGAGGTTAGTCTCATTTGTATCGCTCATGACATTGTGAGTACAAATTCATGCTAAAATGCAAAAGACACAGTTCTTGGAGAGAGCTCCAGGTGGAACAGAGTGTCACAGAGCCAGGAGGCACAGAGCTGTGAATTCCAGCTTTTTGCCTCAAGCAGAAGTGTGAGTCATCATCCAGAAGAATATAGTCTGCACATAAGTATAGATGCTCCCATGAACTTTGAGTATAAACACTCTTCTTCAACATTTATCCTCCAAGCAATAACATAAGTTAGTAATTTAATAAATGCTCCTAGAAGCATCTTTGCTAATGCGCAAATTTTTTTTTTTCTAGATGAAGGCAGCAATACATTTTTCTCCAACTCATCATATGAATGTGCATGTTTTTGTTCTTTTTTTGCAATTACAGCCAAGTCTGTTTGAGCTACGTTTTTGGTTTTAAAGTGCATTTTAATACCGGTCCCTTAAAGTCCTTACTGTAGCGCCAGTGGTGGCTCAGCCAGTTTTTGCTGTGATAACGCAGGTAGTAGGTATCGTTTACCATGTTTACTGTCTTCGCGTAGCGCGTTGGCATGCTAGCATCTGCTATTTAGGCATATAGAAATATCACAGTGTTGCAGTGGTTAGCCTCTCACCAACACCAAACCTTATACAGGACAAAATGAGTATAGCTGATGGATGGATAGAATTTTAAAGGAGAAAAAGTACAGTGTGGACTAAAACATTTAACTCATGATGGTGTTTGATGAAAATTTGGGAATCACCAAAGGTAATATAATTTATCTTGTTGGAAATATGACTATCTATACAAATATGTATAGCAGTTTATCCAATAGTTATGGAGACTGTTCAATCAGAAATAAAGTAGGGGACTGATCAGCTCATTTGGTATAAAGCCAGGCTAAAAATGGAATTGGTTTTTGGAGTTTCAACATTACCACTGAAATAAATCCTCATTGGCTCCATTCTTTGATATTATATTTCCCTTTTGCCAAAAATGTGTGTATGGCTGCATCTATATTTGAACTATATATCAACCAGAATGCTGACACTGAAAAGACATGGTGCATCGAGTTCGCCTCACCTGAGCTAGCATATTCCTGCGGTCAGCGTCCCGGTACAGGGGCAGGTATTTGTGTAGGATCCGCAGGGAGTGTTGTTTAAAGATGGCTGTGATGTACACAGTGCACTCCACCGCGGAGACCGGCTTGCTGAAGACCCCGTATACAAAAAGCATCCCCTCCTCTGAGGTCGTACCTGCAGGACGGAAAACAGAACGTCAGTCCAAACAAAAAGAAGACTTCTATGTTGCCTGTAGCCTTGTTGTGATTCATTTTCACCATCTTTCTGCTGTCTGATTGTCTCTAGGTTTAAAAATCACTTTTAAACAGTAAACATTGCCATCAGCTTTGTTGTGATCTTGGGAATTTCCATATCCAATCGTCTTATAACAAGAACCAGTGGGAATCCAACAGAAAGGAAATAGCTGAGAAAACAAGATATAAATCCATAATAATGTTGCAGTGGCATTTTATATGTCTCTGTGTGCATCACTGACCCAACAGCACTGGCTTCTCTTTCTGCCAGTGGCCCTTCTGAAAGGCAGTGACAGCCTGCTCTTTTATTAACTCCCCATCGATGTATGGACCCCAAGTCTCAAAAACTTCCAGAAACCTGAATGGGTTCACAATCCTGGAACCTGGAATCAAAAACACACCACATGAGTTGTCAATACAGTTAGATTTTCAGATTTACAACATAAAGCAGTGAGTTTAACACAGAAGTTCAACAAAGAGAAATTTATGTCTCCCCACGGTTAAAACTAAAAAAAAGCTAAAAACTAATAAATACTTTGAAGTATTTTGTTCTGTCTTAATCACTAAGAAGTGTTCTCCGCTGTGACTTTAACTCCCCTTTTGGGCCAGAGTGTGCGTTCAGCCAGCTTGAAAACTGCTGCTGATGGCGTAATCACAGAGCCAGTGATACTGACCAACAACCCTGTTAACCCCTGCAGATATATTATATTAATTTTCTGCTGTGAGTCAGTAAAATCCTTCTAATTGCCCCATTAGAGGCTCTCTTTCCTGTGTTAATGATTTTGGTTTCCATTATGTCAGGATAAACATAATGTTTTTCATCACTTTTCGCAGATAAACATACTTTATCCTGCTTCCTTATGTAACTGTGTGGGCAGCCATGAGTGTTGCTCTAAATTTGGGGTGTGTGGCATCCTACTTGTTTTCATCTGGGCGGCCAGGACGGCCTGCGGAGCAAGAGACAGCAGGCAGACGATGTCGCTCACAGAGCAGTTGGTCTGTTTAGCAAAGTCTTTCCCCAACTTCAAGGCGTCGTGTCTGGGGAAGAAGTGCAGAACAATAAAATTACAGTTCAGCTTCTAGTGTGCCGGAGAGCCTCCTGTGAGGATTTGACACAGCAGGAGCTCAGGAAAACACACTGTCCTCTCATTAATTAATACTTCTGACAGCTTGGTGTCTTTTGAGCCAACTGTAATTTGTAGCTCCACCGAAGCACAAGTCAGTTGCACATCAGGAACCTTTACGGCCTTGACAGTTCCTCACCTGGTCTTCAGAGGGATGGAGAAGGGCAGGCTCTGCAGGATGGCCTGTTTAAACAGAGGCTTACTGCTCTGGATCATCAGGTGAAGACTCACTGACTGAGCACCGGCGCTCTCCCCAAATAACGTCACCTGACACACACACACACACAAACACAACGTAAAGCTTTGCATGTTAGCAATTCATTTCAAAACACTGAATAAGCATCATTATCCAGACAATCTGGGGGAGAAATGTGTTAATGGAAGGCAACATGCATAATTTCTAATTTGGAAATGTTTTGATGCTTCTAGTCTGAAAGCTCATAGACACATAGACTACTAGATACGTGGTATTTACAGTGTAATTGTTGTTGAATAGAAGACTACCGCTGAATACAATGAAGAATAGCTGGTAGTGAACACATGACACAAGTCAGGCCACAGGTGCTTGTAGGTGGGAATTCACAGTGACATGAGATTCTGCAGCAGCGCTTACACCTCTTAGGAGCTTGACTTTGGCACAGTAGAGCTTTGAGTACAACATGTTTTACTATTTATTTTAATGTACTTTGTTAGCATGCTTACATTTCCTAACTATCAACTAACATGCTTGCATGGACAACACTCACACGACGTTGTTTAGCAGTTACACCAAGTTCACTTTGGTCTCACTGTAGTTTAGTTGGTTAGAATATTAATATTTGCTAATTAGCACTTATCGTGCCTGCAACGACACCACTTCCATGCTGCTATTTAGCAGGTATAGCATGTTCACCATCTGTTCTTATGCTAATATTTGTTAATTAGCTCTTAACATGCTTGCAATGGAAATGCTAATAGCTGGAACTGATGGGAAGGTCGTGAGTTTTGTGGCTATTTGTCTGTTTCCTCTGTCACTGCAATTCATTCAGTAGGTGTTAATACAATTCACTGAAGATACAAAAAACAAACAAATAAAAAAAACAAGCTTGTGGG